AGATACCTTCTTATGCATCAAAGATACCTTGGAAATTGATTTAAAAAAACGTTTTTACACTTATTATGCTTATCCTTTTTTCTATCTTTACTATTGTACATAAAGATAACTTAGAATTCTTCTCTTGGCAAGCTCGAGGCTGGAACACTTCTCGGTTTTATTTTCGAATATTCATTGATATAATCTTCGACGATCGTGCGGACGATCGCAAGGTTTCAAGAACCGGATTCAAGGCGATGCAGGTTTTTTTCGAGCAAAGGGCCGAAACGCACGGTCGACGTCACACACGAAATTGTCACGAGTCTCGCGTGCATCCACGGTCAGTGACGTCGCTTTTCTTGCTTATACACGCTTCGCGGTGGACGCATTGACGTGGCCCACGCGACCTTGACAAACGTATTTCGCCTCGTCTTTGCCTTTAAGGTGCAAATAAATACAGCGAGAGGTGTTATCGGGTTTCGGGATTCAATCAGCCTTGGGAAATATTACGTGTTTCATTGTCAGTCAGAAATTAAAATACGTAAGAGAAACTAAATAATTCGGAATAAAATCAATCTAATAATAAGCAGAAAAGATGACGTAATTTTTTTATGCGCGAAGAAATTTATCGCTAATTATTATTCCTTTTCTACGCGATTTTCGAATCTTCTCCTTCTCGGAAAAATTTAATAATTTTTATCGATACTGTAATCAATTGACGAAATAAATATCCCACAAATAGCAGGCTTTCTCCTACGCGCTTCATCGCGTGAGATTGTGCCCTTTCGCGTAAAATAATAGAATTAATTCTCAGCTCGTCGATCGCAGAAGCGCGGGAACGGAAATATGGCTTAATAAAGCCTCGTCGTGGACCGCCATGATGTTTCCCTTCCCCTCGCCCTTCCCGCGGATCCCTTCCCTCACCGCCCTTTTTAATAAAAATATTCCCCCCTTCCGTCGTGGTTCTTTCCCTCCTACGAGAACTCGACTTCATCCCTCTCGCTCTTTCGCTCGTTCGTTCACTCGCACCAACTTGGTGTTGGGGTGAACGCGATTTGGGGTCCCCCTCTCATGAAGGCACTTAGGCACTAGTGAAGGTATTTGTCTATCGAAAACTATACCCTTGTTGCGCTCGCACCGAGAAACCTGTCCCCCTCGTCCGTTCTTTACGAGATTTCCCTTTACGAGAATCGCGCTGTTTTTCGGTGGAGTGTTCGATAGTTAGTGACACGTGTGCACGATTTGTGGACACGAAGGAAAATAAAAACTGCCTTCGCTTTTCTCTCGTTCAATAGAGATTCTTCCGATATACTTTTCGTGTCACGAACACATTGAAAATATGACGTTAAAAATTTAAAAAAAAATGTAAAGTTTTTAAATTGTTTTAAAATAACACTTCCATACAATAATTTATTATATTATATTTGAAAATTAAGTTTTAATTAATTACTAGCTAACGGTATTTACGTTTAGATGCAATTGTATAGCACGATATATCATATAACAGTTTATCATAATGTATTTGAAAATTAAATTTACATAACTATTTATATCCTAACATGTATTTGTTTAAACACAACATGTATAATTGCGTCTGTCGGTAAATGCCATTATAGATATTGAATGCAATTATCCAGATATGTAAATTTATCTCTTGTAATAAAATCGAATGAAAAAAAATTTATATTTAAAACTCAAATAGCAGAAAATAGATTCAGCACATGCAAGGTGTACATTAATTATCTCTAAATGCCTAAATCTATTTAAATTCTACTTAAATTTCGTATTTCGTGAAATTTCGAGGAGCTTTTAAAGCGAATGGAACTCTCATCGTAATGCGTTGCCTCTCCCCTTCGACTATTCTAGATATTTTCGATCCACCAGAGTGTATAGGCATGCATATTATGCGTCGAGGGAGTTCCAAACGAAGGAGAGAGAAAGAGAGAGAGAGAGAGAGAGAGAGAGAGAGGAAAGGGAAAGAGGTGGATTTTGTTTTGCAAGATGCACAGTATGTCGCAACAAGGCGATTAAACGATCGTAAAGCTTAACGTTTCACCGACGACCGGCCTCCAGCAATCAATCGGTCCCATTGTAGCCAATGTTACCTTCGGTACACTCTGTATACGCTTGTACATATATACAGTGTAGGTTCTCCCTCTGTTTCCCTCTCTCTCACTCCTTCTCGTTCTCTCTGACACTATCTATCTGCGCTGCTCTATCTATCCGTCTCCTTTCCTCTCTTCGTGGTCGGTACTCCGTTCGCGAGTCGCTGCCTCGGGGCGAGGGATAAGAGCACATCAGTGCTGTCGTCAGCATGTCCTCTTGCCCCGTTCCAGAGTGGACTTTGAATCCAAATTTCCTATCATTATTAATCATCTATATTTTAATGTATCTAATAAAAAATATATATATTTAACTCTGCAAAAAAAGTAATTATTCGAAACTTGAACTATAAATCTCTATGTGTCATATAAAATATATCAACATGTTTTTTTGCAAAGAAATATATCAACATGTTTTTTTGCAAAGAAAAAAATATCGAGACTTTTTAAAGTCAATGAGATCCGTAAACAAGATTTCTACGACTTCTCATCTGTTATTAAAAGGTGGTTTTATCTTCTATAAATAATTTTATCTTTTGCGTATGTAGAATTCTACAAATATTTAATTTTTTCAAAAGGATAACATGTAATTCTAATAAAACAAATAATAAAAGTTTTCAACAATTACATGTTATCATTAAAATGACGCAAATTATTTTCACCTTCATTTAAGTCTGGAACCCTTATCGTTTAAAAAATTTAAAATATTCCCCTTATTTTACTAACTTGTATGCAGTAAAAAAAATATTCAAAAATATTCATCGGACCATAAGTATCGGAAGAATAAATTCTTCAATGATTTCACGGAGCGAAGGACTACGCGACATGACTACATAGAAAAAAAAGTGTCAAATCAAAATTATATACTTAAACTAACGCGTTCATTGTTTTGTATATATACGCAACAATTTATAATCTTCTTAGAAGAATTTCATAATTTTAAATTTCAACAATATTATAGTCTTATTTTAATATTGTAATTGTAATCCCAAGAATATATAATTATAATCTTTGATTTAAAAATGTTGTTTTCTATCTAACATTGTTTTTTTTCTATTCAAGAAAATTAAATCTTAAATCATAAGAATATATTTTTCTCGATTGCACTATATAAAATGGCTTCATTCAAGTAAGCAATTATTCAAGCAATTATATTTTTCTTTAATTAACGCTATATAATCTCATTTCAACACGGTAAAAAACATTTTGTATTTCTGTTAAAATTTTCTCGTATAAAAATTTTTGTGTTAAATTTTTAACATACTCTTATGTAACATATTATGTAACATATATCGTTGCGTTATTTTGATTTTTCTGCGTTGAATTAATATTCATCGTTTCTACAAGTTAAAACAACACAATTAATATGTAAATGCACGAATTTTTGATGAAATATGTTATATGTTAAAATGAACGGATAAGTTGTGTTATTTTTCTTTATATAACAGTTTCCATATGTTAGATCGACATACCTCTTCTGTTATTTATTATAAAAAGAATAACATTTTCTTTTAATTAAATTTAACATTATAAATATGTTAATTTAATATAAACTTTATTTCCAGATAAAGTTTAAGTGTTACACTTTTGTGTTAATTTTTAAACATATTACTTGTGTTATTTATTTACATACTAGTCTTTTGTTAAATTAACATTAAAATTAGAGTGGATAAATTGGGACATGTGAAATATGTTAAATTTAACACACAATTTTTTACTGTGAAGATTTTCACGTTGAAAGTAAATACATTTTCAAAACAATAATGTCCTTTTTTTCTGCGCGCTTAAAAAATTTAAAATACTTCCCTTATTTTACTAAATTATATGCAATAAAAGAATATTGAAAAATATTCATCAGACCACAAGTATCGATCGGAAGAATAAATTCTCCAATGATTTCACGGAGCGAAGGATTACGCGGTATGTCTACACAGAAAAAAAAGTGTCAAATCAAAATTATATACTTAAACTAACGCGTTCATTGTTTCGTATATACGCAATAATTTGTAATCTTCTTAGAAGAATTTAATAATTTTAAATTTCAACAATATTATAGTCTTATTTTAATATTGTAATTGTCATCCCAAGAATATATAATTATTTAATTCTACTTTAAGAAAATTATAATCTTTGATTTAAAAATGTCATTTTCTATCCAACATTGTTTCTTTTCTATTCAAGAAAATTAAATCTTAAATCATAAGAATATATTTTTCTCGATTGCACTATATAAAATGGCTTCATTCAAGTAAGCAATTATTCAAGCAATTATATTTTTCTTTAATTAACGTAATATAATCTCATTTCAAGATTTCCATGTTAAAACTAAAAATATTTTCAAAACAAGAATGTCCTTTTTTTCTGTGTGCTGAATTTATATGTTTATCCACAGAAAAAAATAAGTGTCAAATCAAAACTTGTATACTTAAACTAACGCGTTCATTGTTTCGTATATACGCAACAATTTATAATTTTCTTAGAAGAATTTCATAATTTTAAATTTCAACAATATTATAGTCTTATTTTAATATTGTAATTGTTATCCCAAGAATATATAATTATTTAATTCTCCTTTATGTAATTATTTAATTCTACTTTATATAATTATTTAATTCTACTTTAAGAAAATTATAATCTTTGATTTAAAAATGTTATTTTCTATCCAACATTGTTTCTTTTCTATTCAAGAAAATTAAATCTTAAATCATAAGAATATATTTTTCAGATCGGAAGAATAAATTTTCCAATGATTTGACGGAACGAAAGGATTACGCGGCATGCTCTTTCTCCTCGCTCGCGCGCGAAAGGAACCACCGCTCGATCCACACCTGCGTCGCGATCCCGCGGAGCGGGGGCGGCGAGGACGACGACGGTGGTGGCGGTGGCGGCGGCCGCGGCCGCGACGGCGTAGAGGACGGCAACGAGGAGGCACCGCCGCCAGTAGCTCCCAGGCAGTGACTCCGCGCGTAACATGTAACCGGTGGCCATCCATCGTGGTGTTATGTCATCGGTGACAATCCCAGGACGCGGAGGAGCCTCGGACGGCGGTGCGCGGAGGAATCGAGGATAGAGCGCGAGTGATCGCATCCCGAGTGGAATCGCGAGCGTTCGGAAGGTGTCTTTCGCGGTGTTCCCCATCTTCTCTCCGACATCGTCCAGGACATTCACCTTCCTCGCGCTAGACGTTGAGAGAGCGCGGGTCGCGAGGGCTCGCCCCGATGGATCGACCTGGGTGATCCCGAGCTCGTCGAGGATGCCGCGAGCTGGACGCGTGCCTCGATGAGGATCGACGCTCGTGCTCTCCCGTGTCCTCGTTCGGCTGCGCGGCGTCGCGTCACGGTTCGATAGCCGGACGGACGCCGGCGACCTCGGCGTCGACGACTCGAGCGTCGGCATCGGAAGCGAACGAGTCGTTCCGGTGGATGTCGACGAACCCGCGGTCCCGCAGCCGCAGTGACAGCGCGATAATACCACGGTGATTACGAGCGCGCGAGGGGAACAGGCGGCCTGGTCCCGTGAACGGTGGTAGCAGACGCGGAAGTTTCGTTCCGGGACGACAATGGCGAGATGGCCTTGAGTTCGATTGCGCGAGAACGAGTTCGGTGAACGGTCGTTCGCGGGGTTCGTTTCGACTTGGAGCGATCGGGACCGCGCGATCCGCGCTACGTCGCAGCGCGCGTCTCGCTACCGGGTGTCTACGATGCACGGTGCAGTTGCAAACGGGTTCACGCGTCAAAATTATGCCGGGGAGATACGAAGCGGCGAACCAAAGTACGTAAAAAACGAGAGCGAATCGCGTACGTAGACAATTTCGCGCGACCGGAAACCCGTATGTTGCGTCGTATTTCGCGACAATTCGCGATAATTCGATACAGCAGCGATCGTCCGAGTCCGAGCTATCGATCGTTAACACTCAAGCGGCCGGATGCGATCCCGTCGGGCGAGAGAGACAGAGTGACCACCGTTCGTTGAATGGAGTGATGAGCGGGGCCCCTGCGCGGGGCACAGTGCCCCGTCGTCAAAGACGCCATCATCATCATCATCACGATCACCATCATCATCACCAGAAGCATCAGAAGCGCGTCCGGGACAAGACGTCGCGAGACAGAGCGCTGGATGAACCGGAGGAGAAGCGGCCAAAAGTCAATCCGATCTTCCTGTGGGCGTCGCAGCGCGAGCAGAGGATCGTCGAGGTGAGATGCGAGGACTACGATAAGCGGAATCGCATCAAGCTCACGAAAACCGCGCAAGGATGGCGCTCGATACCGCGCACGACGTCCAATGTTTACACGATCGCCCTGGGCACGGCCTGCAAGAGGACGACGTCGGGCCCGGTCGAGTCGTCGCCGGCCTCGTCGGTCTCGTCCAACGACGAGAAGGAAAATGGCAAGCGGCACCAGGAGGTCGCGCCGACCAACGCCATGGCCGGCTCCCATCGGCGTCATCCGCGAAAATATACGGCAAACGGTGCGACGAACGGTTTGCTTCCTGGCGAAGGCGCAGGTAGAAAGAGACGTTACGACGAAGAGACGAGCCGACGTGGATATTCCTATTTGGGCTCCAAGTGGAATCCTGGCGGTCCGAGTTGCTCGGACGAGGATAACGACAACGAAGGTGAGGAGAAAAGCGGAGAGGAGGAGAAGAACCGCGAACGGAGCAAGGTGGAGGATCGTCTATCCAGCTTAAGGAGCAAAGATAGATTGGGCGGTCGCGTCAATTTGGAGAGGTTGCAAAAGGACAAGCTGTTCCAACCGCGCGTCGTTCTGGAGCAGCTACATTTGTCGCAACTTCCCGAGAGCGCGCATCAAAATGTCGTTCGCCACTCGAGAGCTAAGGACGCAGCGAACGAGACGAAGCGAATGGAGGAAAGTAACGAGCAAAACGAGAAAGATGCCGTCGAGGAGGAGGAAGAGGCGGAGGAGGAAGAAGAAGACAGCGGGAAACCGAGTCGGGTGAACAAGGCGGGCATTCAGGACATATTGAACATGATAGATGCAACAGCCTCGCCCGTTCTCGCCACCGACACTCCCAGCGCTGATCTACCGGTCGATTCTACCAAAACCTACGAAGTTCTTGGCGAGAAGCAGTTTGTAGAAAGACAAGTCAAGGACGTGAAATCCGACTGCGCGAAAGATAGATCGAAAAGAACGTCGGCACCTAGTTACCAGGCCGAGATCATCGACCAAAATGAGGAGATCGATGATAACCTGGAAGTGCACGAGGAGAAGATCTTGGAGGAGGATTGTTGCCTAAAGGAGATGCTGGACAGAAAAATTCGCGGGGAAAACAAGCTCGTGCTTCTTTCGTCGCAAGGTAAGAGAAACCCCGAGATGACCCTGAATTCGTGTAAAGTCGCCGAAGCTGACGGCGGGCTAGTCGAACGGTCGACGTGCAAATCCAACTCCCTGGTCACGTGGCCAAGGATACCGGCCGACGAGGAAACACCGGCGGAGGCTGAGGAGGAGGCGCCAGACGAGCCCGGCGAGCCGGCGAAAATCGATTACAACGATAGCTCCAAGATCCTCGACGCTCTGAGAAACACGCCGGGGCTCTCGGTGTCCGTGACGAGGAATCACATACCCGAGATCGACAAGAATCTGATTGTGTCACCTGCGCGGCCGCCCTCGAAGGCGTCCTCGTCGAGCAGGTCGCCGGATTCGCAAGCGGAATGCGTCGAAAAACTACTCAAGAACTCGAGCGATTTTGTAAACGACCCCGGCGGACGCATGAATTCGCCCCGCAATTTGCCGGGTCTGTCGATCATTATACCGAGCTATTGCTACAGAAGCGCCTCGGGTCAGTTGACGACGACTACCTCACCGAGTATGAAACGTCGCGTCGAATCGCCCGAGAGTACCGTCAGTTTCAACAAGGCCGACACGTATCCGGAACGACTGAAGTTGGACAGATTCCCCCACGAAGAAGACGAGGAAGAGGACGAGGACGAGGACGATTGCGACTCGCAGGTTCTGGAGGATCTCAGACGGCAGAAGGCGGACTCGCTGGCACATGACACCGTTGACGCGGATTATTACAGCAAGCCCGGTTCCCGAATCTTCAATCGGGAAGATCGCAAGAGCTCGCTCGACAACATAAAGAGCGACTCGCACTGGATGGGCTCCAGCAGAAGCAACGAAGCGCAGGCCAAATGTAAATATCAGGATCTCGAACATTTCGATGAGCAAGTCCTGGAGGAACTACGGTCACGCGGCACCGTAGTTTCTCCTCAGCCTAGCGGAATTCCTTGCTCCCCTGCATCTAGAAGACCATCATCGGCATATCTCGAGAGGTTGCTGCCGAGTCCGCCCTGTTCGGTTTCCTGTTCGGAGGATGCCAAGAGCGAGTTGACGTTAAAGAGCATTTTAGCCTCGTCCAACTGTGCGGAACCTCGGGACTATGAGAGATCGAAGGAGGGACTATCGACGCGATTCGATCAGAGCATCGAGCCTGTTTCTCGATCCGTGCATTCGAGCGTCGATCGGAGCACGAGGAGGACCGGCAATCAGCGCAGCTTCCAGGAACGCCTCAACGTCCACAGTCAGGAGACGAGGAATTCCGGCAGGCCGATGTCTAGCGGCGACATTCCCAGCACCTTTTATACGATGACGGATCGCGTCGCGCTCAAAAGGCCCATGTCCGTCGAATGGCAGTCGAGCGGGCAGCGGCAGAAGGCCCATCAGATTGGCTACCAAAAAATCGCCGCCAAAACGAAGAACTTGGCCGATCGTCAAACCCAAAATCAGGTCGCTTGCGCCACGTCCAGCAGCACGGACAAACTCCTGGACCCGGCGAGCCAGTTGCGCGAACTCATCGAGACCGTCGGCTATCTGATCCCCGATCCTCTCCTGGTCCCCCGGGATTATTTACCGGGTCTGGCCGCCGCGCCCGCGACGGAGATCCCCAAGTTGCTGGCCAGCAGGCCCGAGCTGAGGCTGCCCGAGGCCCTCACCAGGCCCGATTTGATCCGGGATCCCGATCTGCTCGTGATATCGTTGGCGCATCTACAGCACGTGCTGGATCACGGTGAAGGCCCAGTTTCAAGAGCGCAACCGCAACAATCCAGGGCCGTTAATAGCATTAATGGCATCGTCAACAAAGGATCGTCCGGTCACGTCAACAACAATGGCGCGAGAGGCGGCGGGCCCAGCCGGCCGAAACTCAGCTGTAAGCCGATTGGCACGCTAATGCCGACGCAACCGATTGATCTTTCGAGCGGCGCTAACCGATCACGCAATCCCCATCCGCCTCTGCTCAGGGTGCGCAGCGGATTGCTCAAGCAGGAGCCGGAAGTGAGTTCCACAGCGACCTCGCCGGACGAGTCGCAGTTATGGCACCCGTTGTTCGGCAGGTAAAGGTTCTTCGCATTTATTTTTTTCTTATCTTCCTATTTTCTATCCGGCTATTTTCGCTCATTCGTTGCGTAATAACTCTGATGAATAGGCGAAAAAAAATAAAATGACTAATTATACAGGTACACAGAAAAAAAATAAGTGCCAAGTCAAAACTTGTATACTTAAACCAACGCGTTCATCGTTTCGTATATGCGCAACAATTTATAATCTTCTTAGAAGAATTTAGTAATTTTAAATTTCAATATTATAGTCTTATTATAATATTGTAATTGTGTTGTTACCTCAAGAATATATGATAATTTAATTCTATTTTAAGAAAATTATAATCTTTGATTTAAAATTGTTATTTTCTATCCAACATTGTTTCTTTTCCGTTCAAGAAAATTAAATTTTCAAATCAGAAGAATATATTTTTCTTGAATGAACTTTATAAAATAGCTTCATTCAAGGAAAGAATTATTCAAGCCATTATATTTTTCTTTAATTAACGCAATATAGTCTCATTTCAAGATTTTCATGTTAAAACTAAATATATTTTTAAAACAAGAATGTCCTTTTTTTTCTGTGTAGTAAAAAATGCCAAAGTATAAAAAAGCGCTTGAATTTCAGTGGACGCTGATATACAATTTAAAAATAATTTTGCTTTATTATTATTCTATGTATTTTATATCTCCCTTCGAAGAAAGATGGATATACGATTAATGTGTTTGTTAAAAAATAAAATTTAAAAATATACCGTTGAATAGAATACGTATTCAAATTAATTCAATTCCCAATTGAATCACATATCTTTTAAAGTAAACAACTCAATCAGCCGAGAATATTCTATATTCTATATTGAATCATCAATGTATATTCTATATTCATCAATCGGCCTCGTACAGTTTGAAATTATGGACGCGTAACAAATTTGCAAGTGGTCGAAATATTATCGAAATAATGCATTCGATCGGTAGCGATGATTATTCCACATTTTTTACATCAATGTTTACGCCGAGTGATTCAATTAAACGAATTACGCACGTCGCAACATTTAATACAATTAAATGTTCATTTAGAATGTAATATATCCGACGAAACGCGGCAAAACGTGTGTTGGCGAGAGGACGGCACGTCGGATATATTTAGAGCGAAAGAGGTGAACGGAGGAAGATAAAAAAAAAATAAATAAAAAAATTAAAAAAAAAACACAGGAACAAAAATCGATGCTTTACTTCCTCGCGTGCAAATAGGTCGGCCTGAATAACGATCATGATGAACCAAGTGCACGAAAACAATGCTGTTAAGCCTACCTCGCGAGGAAAACGAGCAAAGCGCGCGCCACGATTCGGTGACGAGGAAAGAAGGGAGAGGAAAAAAAAAAGGACGAGAAGTGGCACGGTCGGCTTCGTTTATTTAAACGCGAGAGACGCGCGCGCAGGAAGTGCATTCTGATCCCTTCCGCGTCCACTATTAACACGCAACGCGTGCTCCGACTCGTGCAAATGCGTTTATATTCTCGTCGCCGCGTGTTGTAGAGCGATTAAATTTCTACCATTTTATATCGACCTGCGTGTCCGCGCGTCCCTCGGGAGACCCGTCATATCGCGTTGCTTTATGCATACGAATCGCGCGGACGAGAAGGCTACTTTTGCAGTTCCATTTCGCCGCGACTCGAGACGCGGAATCGACGATTCACCAAGCCGATTGCCGTCGATGCGACGGGGTTCATTTGCATCTTAATACAAAGACGTGTGCTGTACGAAGCGCGGGTACTCAACAAACTCCACCACGGGAGCTTGTCACTCGAGCCTGTTACGAGTCGCGATTATCGTACGCGTCGACACATCGACACTGTTAAATATTTAAATTAAATCGAATGTGAGAAAGAGAGAGAGAAGGGGGGAGGGAGAGAGAGCGAGAGAGAGACAGAGAGAAAGAGAAAGACTTTGATCGCGCCTTCTATATCGAGCGTGACCCTCTACTTCCTTCGTGAGACATCGAAAAGAGAATTGGCAGCCTAATGATAATTAGAGAAAAAACAAGTTCGATAAAAATAAAATATGTAAAAGAATTGAAATTTTTGAGAAGAAATCAGTTCGATAAAAATAAAATACGTAAAAGAATTGAAATTTTTGGGAAGAAATAAGTTCGATAAAAATAAAATACATAAAAGAATTGAAATTTTTTAGAAAAAATCAATTCGATAAAAATAAAATACGTAAAAGAACTGAAATTTTTGAGAAGAAATCAGTTCGATAAAAATAAAATACGTAAAAGAACTGAAAGTTTTGAGAAGAAATCAGTTCGATAAAAATAAAATACGTAAAAGAACTGAAATTTTTGGGAAGAAATAAGTTCGATAAAAATAAAATACATAAAAGAACTGAAATTTTTGAGAAGAAGTAAGTTCGACAAAAATAAAATACGTAAAAGAATTGAAATTTTTTGAGAAGAAAAGAAAGAAGAAAAAAAAGCATTGTCATTAGGTATGAAATTGGCACTCCCATTAGGTATAATTGCGACCAGATGAATAGGTGCTTTTTGTAAAAGAAAAAAAAAATTTACGATGTAACGGTCAAAATCTTCATTTCATTTCCGTCATTTGGAATTTTTTTTACAATCTGCCGTGAAGCACGCTTAGAATAGAATTCTCGAAATTTTTTGGCACCGCCAATCACCGCGCTCGAAGCGCACCAAGCGAAGAGTTCTCGCTCTGGAAATTTCCAGTCTCGATCGTGCAGCAGACTGTTAATTGATTAATCGAGACTTGTCTAATGAGGAACGCCCGTTCGAATACGATTGGCCACATTGGCACAACGTGAAACTGGGTCGTGGTAAACGCTTTTCGTCCTACGTTCGTTGTCTACGCTTAGCTCGCTAAGCTCGACATCGACGACAAGGCTGCGCGGTTGCGCAAGTCCGCATATTTAGGATTCATAGGCTCAGGTATAGATCCGAAGGACCGATAACAATACGTGGGTAGAAAGGATAAGGTTATCTAGTGACTGTATGCTAATTTCTTCGCTGGTCGCGCTGGAGAAGACATTGTTCGCTTACGAGAGATCGCTTCATTTATCATGTTTAGAACAGCTTAAAAGCTGCGTCTATACTATATTAACCTTGAATCGATTTGACTAAATGAAAACAACTCTCATATATCTCTCATATATCTTCCTCAATTAACGTCAATATTTTATTGAAAAACCAATAACTACCAGTTAGTCTATCTTATCCAGTAAAAAAAAAAATATGTTTATGTCATGCTTATGTCATGTTGACACATTGTGATAAGATCTTATAGAAGGAAAAAGAAACCAAAAAATTTCCATATACAAGGTGATTCTTAATAAGTGTGAAAAATCTTAGATGATTCTTTGTCGGAAATTAAGGGGGATTTTTTATATAAACATATACTGCTACATCTCTCCCTGTGGAGTTACATTACTCCAAAAATGGGAGTAAATATTAGGTTTTTATTTTTTTTCTCAAATTTCGAACAAGTTAAAGAAATGAAATTAGGTGGATATTTTCGACTAGTAAAAAAGTTATTTATTAATATTTTTTTCAGCCTCTCGTACTGTTATAAGGGGATGAAACTAGCAACCCCTATTCAATTTTTTATTAAAACTTTTTAATGTTCATATGAAAAGTCCCTTTAATTTTCGAGAGAATCGTCTCCTAAAATTCGCACTTATTAAAAAAACACCTTGTATATCGCGTACATATATAAAAATACATTTCTCGACGTAACAAAGGCAAAGTGTAAAATCTCACAGCGAAACAACAAATATATAATCCTGCTTAGATACCGGGCAAGATGCAAAATTAATTAAATTAATCGACAGGAATCTCTCTGTAATAAAGCTTACGGAAATAGTTATCGATTCGCCGACGTAGAGGAGTGTCTCTACAGTCGGGGCACTAAATCTCCCCGGGTTTCGGTAATGAAACGCGAGGGACTTGAGGACCTGGTCTCGACAATTAATGGAACGCGCGTCGCGATTCTCTGAGAGACAAAGAGGACACCGGCGAAAAGTTCCGAAACGCGCTCAGATTACACGGTGCTTGATCGCACGAGCCGGTGTGATGTAATAAGCGTGGGTGCGCACCAGGGTGTTATGCGTGCGACATGCACGGTCTCGAGAACACGGTTCCGAACGCCCTTTCGCCACGGGCGGGGAGCACTTGTGTAAATAGCATTAGGATGCTAGTCTACGCTGGCGAGCGAGCGAACGGACGGACGGACGGACGGTTTTAATGAGAGGGAGAGGCATTAGAGGAGGACCCTCGTTCGTGTCGACACACGACGACACGAACGTTCATCGATCGTGCCACCAACAGGACACGGGGAATTCGAAAGCGCGGAGGGACGAGGGAAAGGGAGGGGAGAGGGGTGCCGGACAGGAAGCAAAAATCTCGGTGGGATTTAACCCTCTCGTGAGCGGGCGGTCGAAAGGAGGGAGAGATTAGTTTATTATTCCGGAGTAACGATCTCCCATCGAGAAAGGATCATCCATTTTCTTGATATCTGTATTTCTCAATATTTAGATTCGAGATTTTATGTGTAATTTAGCCATTTCTCCCTTCGAAATGTGTCTCCCAGTTTGACCTCGTGTGCGCTAATGATTTAAATTAATCAGACTTTTATGTAAAAAGCTCAACTTTGTCGCGGAATTACATCGAGCGTCATAACCATATTTCTTTCTATTATTTGTCTGCACGATACTTGTTGCATAACCCTCTTGTGTAATCGCATTCACGTGGCAAAAATGTTGGAAAAAAAGACCCCCGCTGAAAATATGTCTCCCAGCGTATCGCTTCGATTAGCATTCATCGTGCAGCTTTATAAATCAACAGGATGTACATCACTCGTTGATAAGAGTTTGCATACTTTGCAACAAGCGCACGTCGTGTCAAGTAGTCAAATGATAATTTTAAAAAATAATTCCAATCATATTCTCAGTAATGTAACGATGAATGGATAGAGTAGGAAGGGTCATGTATATTTTCCTTC